GTTTTTGAATGAAATAGAAATAAATTTGCATACAACAAGTTATCTGTTTTTATGAGTGTTATTGCTTTTGTATCTTGTTTTAACAAACTATTACTTTTGTACCTTGTTTACTAAAAGTTATTTTAACTAGATAGCAAGTGCATAAACTGCCAAAGAAAAACAAAATTTTCAATGTATAAAATATGAAAGCTTCAATAAATGTAAAAATACAGCTGTACATGTCATTAAATTATATTTCTTCAATTTGAAAATTCCTGAATAATTACAAACAATGGTGATGACATCATCAAGACATTGACTACTGTTATATTTGCCTTGACAGAAACTGTCACAATGCTTCTGAGGAAACAATTTTTAACATTAGGAATCTGATCATTTACTGTTATTTGAAATGACTTTCAACCATGAAAATGTAGTGGCAGCCTGAAAATATCTGATTTTCAAAACCGTAAAGGAAATGTATTCACATATCCTTTAATGTTCTTATCATTGGGTCTTCTATTTGTGATCTCTGTTTTCTTACAAAATGCATTCTGAATCCTATTTGCTGCACAAATGAAATACATTTGTTGTAAGTGAAGGTCACCTTATACTGATGGAATGGACTGAGTGGGATAAGGTGCTTGCCTCTAATGATCACATGATTACCTCTGTGTGAGTTCTAGTCTCAGTTCAACCAATGTGGACATGAGAGAAGACTTGCCAGTATTGTCTCTAAGGTTCTTCCTTCATCAATATACAATCTATCTTTTGTAGCCTTTCATGTGCTGATAAATGGTGCTAAACCCCACAAAGCATAATGGCAAAGCACATTATTTTGGGATGTCATGCATACTTGCTTAAAAGCTGGGCCCAAATGTAGATTGCATAGACCCATATCTGCCTTTGCATAATCTGCCGGCAGATCTGGGACTATGCAGTTTGTTTGGAGTAATCAGTAGAACCAACACAGATCCTGCTCTGCTAATACAGTATGCAATGGCAGATCTGGGTCTATGTTGTCTGCAGTTGGACGTGACTTACAGTCAAATATAGGTAGTATATTACAGTTGTTGTCAGTTTAACAGCTGTTTTAGCACATGATAGGCTATACAATGCAGCCAGTATGTTTGGTGAAAGAAGAACACAAGAATACCCTGAAACGAACAAGCAAAGCTATTAGCAAGCTTTCTCACATACCCATGTTAGTCAAGTCTGAGACTCAAACCTAAGGTGGACAAAGGTGAGTTGTCAGTGATCTGTAAAGGCAAATGCCTTAGACCAATCAGCCACTCAGGGCCCCTATTACATTATAAATATATGTAGAATAATTACTATTACATACTTTATTGAGATCCATTACTAAACCTACCTTATAAATGTAACCATGATTTACAACTTAAGTGTATAAAATAACAGATTCTAATCTGACATTAAGGACTTCACTGAGGTCATCATATCTGTACAATTGGAAAAGTATATATATAAGAACTAATTGTCAATGGGTTTAGCGACCTTACACTGTGACATGTAAATGTCAAGAAATACAACAATGACACCAAGTGATAATTATTAGGTCCATTATAGCTCAATCTAATACATCCTTGCACTTTTCTGAAAAATATTTTACCAGGTTAAAAATGATAACTACCTTGATAAACACCTTGATAGATGTTATTTTAAGCAGATGATGAAATGGACTATACCAAGAAAATGTTTTCAATAGCGTATATCACACTGATTTCGGAAGTGCTTGCCAGCTGCAATCTATCAATAATCATGCTTAACCAATTACAAATATAAATAATTCATTTATAGACCACCAATAAAAGTTTTCTACGAAAATAGTAACTAATATTAAATTGTAAAAAGCATTTTTGATATTTAACTACAGCTGACATCACAAACTTGCAACCATCAAATAAGATGGAACTTACATGATCACGCAAAAAGTGAGCATATTATTTTTGCTACAGGTGATGCTAAATTTACATCATTGAAGTATTCCTGAGGTCATGGTGAAAATCAAAAGTAATTTAAATGCATATATGTCAAATGCATTGAATCACAGCACATGGTACCAGCGATGGAGTAAAAATGAGCACAGTGGCTCAAATTGAAAATTATTTCTTTATTATAAATGGCATCAAAATGACAGTATGTAAATAAATTTGGTATAATCAAGCATCACCCGAATATGAAATGACATAAATTAGATTTGGTAAATCAGCATCAAAATACAAAACAAGAAAGGAGACATACAATGAGATAACATGACAACTACTATTTAACTTGTAGCTATAGAAACATTTTTATTTGTATTTAATGATGACACCAAGGTCAAATGCATTATTTAAAAAATTTAACTCAGAATTTAGCTTGGTAATTACTCATTATATGGAATGACAAAATCAAAGTATGATTAATGAAATGGCAAAAAACATACATCAATAAACATGAAAAATAACACAGACAACAATAATAACACAATATCTATCAAACATAAACAGTACCCTTTCAGATAAAATTCTGAGAAAAATATATTAATCCTTTATTACTTTAAGTGCACATGAACATATCCAATGCATCTTCTCCCAATATCGAATTACCAAGCATAAGCCAAATTGTTTTGTCCATACATTTGGATTAGAACAAAGTTGTATCCCATGTACATTTTTTAGTACAACAGTAATACCATACTCACAATACCACAATAAAGTATCACTTTTATATTGATTATATTAAATACCACAAATAATCACCAATCAACAATTGCAAAACAACAAATGATACATTTAAAATATAATCTTGGTCTGGATTTCAGACTACAATGAAATATTTCTGCAAAAATAACTCTTTGTAATACTATCATTAAAATATATTATCTCTCAAACAAAACATTTTATTATAAACCTTAAACCCAGGGATTTTTTCATTTCCAAAAAAAGAAAGTTACTTCCTGAGTGATAAAACTACACATTCACTGGCACTCAGTTCACATATAATCTAAGTGTCACTGTCCATATCACTTACTTTACTTGCATCTAATTATATTCTAATAGACATTAACCTGGCTATAATAAGGCATCCTCTTAATTGACCTATTTTAGTTCAAAGTTTCTGCCAAATGATTTTAGATAACAAAGGGAGACAACTTTCTCAGCTGCTGTAAAATTGGAACTGGCAAATAAAATAATCTGGAAGAATATTTTGAAAAAGAACTATTGTAACTTAATTGCACAGAAAATATAAGCTGACACAAACTTACTTGTGAGATTTTTGAGTAATAAACAATGCAAAATTCACTTGTAAGACTTTTAAGTGGTAAGCAATGCAATGTCTGCTTGTGAGATTTCTGAGTGCAAGTAACAAAAAATCTGCTTTATCCTTTAATTACCAATATGATGTTTACCGTATTACCATTATACTGGTTTATAGCAGTATTTTCTCTAATGGAACATGCTATGGTACATTTTGTTGTATAGGTATTACAATAGTTTCCATCAGTAAGAAATGTATGCAAATTAAGAAATAATCTTGTTAAAAATTAAATTGTAACAGCATGTTTTCATTTTTCATGACAAAAAAACATTAAATTTTGTATTTTTTTTAAACAAAGCAGTTGTATTTGTCTCAAATTAATTTTAAATATTACAAAAATAATTATATGATTCATATTTGTGTGCCAATGTGGTGGCTTAATGGAAAGTGAAAGATTTTTGTGCCTAGTGCAACTTTTGTAAAACTTTTAAAAGAAAATAAAAAACAACCCAAAATGTAATTTATTGTTTATCTACTAGCATATGTTAGTGTGTTAAGTACATATAAGACTGATAATTATCCCAAAATTTTCAGGACAGCAATTTTATGTTAAAAAATTTACATAATTTCTCAAGACACTAAATATTTTCTCTTTTGCAGAATGAGTGTGTTTATGTTTAATTGTCCTCTTTGACAAATATCTTGCCTGGGTGTTGGCATCCCATCACTACTACAGTGTAGTAAGCAAAATGTAGGCTTCAGTCCATGATAATACTTGCCATTTTTTATCAACAAGCTCTCCAAAGTCAGCATATTGTCTTTAATAAGGTGGCAGCTATAGTGTAAACTTATTCATCCCACTTTGACTAGTTTCTGAATTACAAATTATACAATAATTAACAAACACAAAGCAAATTTATCGAATATAAGGAGCTAATAATTTAATTATTTTGGCAGGGGTACAATTTTTTTGTACAACAAAAATTATTTTTAGCTCAACATAATTTTGGTTTCAAAATAATATTATAGATATAATGTGGTGTCATTTAGCTAAAAGTTAATTGACACATATAATTTTTTTTTAAAATCCCTGGTCCCTGCTCCATAACAATAACACAGTCATATGTATCACTATGTTCAGAAATACCATGATACAAAGTTTCTTGGGGGGCCCCAAGTGGCCGGGTGGTCTAAAGCGCTGTCCGTTATGGATCACTGCCATCTCACCTCTGTCTGTGTGTGTTCGAGTCTAGGATTCGGTGAATGTGGATATGTGAGAAAGCTTGCCAGTAGCTTCTCGTAAGTCGGTGGTTATTTCCTGTGATTTCCCTGTTTCTTCCTCCACCATTAATATTGGCTGCCATGAATAGCCTATCGTGTGCTGAAAAATGGTGTTAAGCCCAACAACAACAACAACAAAGTTTCTTGTGGTAAACTCAGCTCTAGGGACCATAGGCACAGGTTGTGTGTGTGTGTGTGTGTGTGTGTGTGTGTGTGTGTGTGTGTGTGTGTGTGTGAGAGAGAGAGAGAGAGAGAGAGAGAGAGAGAGAGAGAGATTTGGATTTTTAATGTAGCTATAACAATTTTTCAGTCATAATGTTATGATGTCTAGCACTGGAGCATCATGCCACAGACATGTAGCATGATGTCTCACCCAGTCACATTATCCTGACACCAGGCCAACCAGTCCTAATACTAACCACTTCATGCTGAGCACCATGTGAGGCAGCTATTAGTACCAGTTTTAGAAGTCTTTGGTATGACTCAGCCAGGATTTGAACCTGCGACCCCCCACATCCAAGGTGGACACTCTAATCACTTGGCCACTGGAGCTGTCAGATGAATGATAGTCTAGAATGGACTCTTACTAATACGTAGCCAAATGTATTCACCATGCAAAAACATTAACATGTCTCATTAACATAAAATCTACCAGGGAAGTCTTAAGCCTGAGAGAGAAATAAAAATAACTGGGGACTTGAACAAATTGTAGTGTGAACCTATCCTATTTTTAAGTAATGAATACATAGCACAACCAAACCATGAATAATACAAAAAATGACTTGTAAGATTATAAAGTGCATTTGAGAAATGCAAGCTAAATGTCAATTAATATACTGTGTATCCACTCCATGGTATGTCAGGTGAGAAATTATGCAAGCTGAATGCTAATTAACATACTGTATACCCACTTCATGATTGGTCAGATGAGAAACTATGCAAGCTGCATGTCAATTAATATACTGTATATGATTGGTCAGATGAGAAACTATGCAAGTTGAATGTTAATTAATACACAGTATACATTCCCACCTCATGATTGGTCAGGTGAGAAACTATGTAAGCTGAATGTCAATTAATGTAAGTTTTAACCACTCCATTATTGGTCAGATAAGAAACTATGCCAACCACATTCCAATTAATACACTGTGTACAGACTGTATTATTGGTCAGGTGATGAACTATGCAAGCTGAATGCCAGTTAATATACTGTATACATACTCCATCATTGGTCAGGTGAGAAACTATACAAGCTGCATACAAATTAATACATTGTGTACCAACTGCATTATTGATCAGGTGAGAAACTATGCAAGCTGAATGTCAATATAATGTATACCCACTCCATGATCGCTCCATGTACCAAACTGAACTTTATAAATTGCAATATCTTTGTTAGTTTGTCTTTACAATAGTATCACTAGAATATTGATAGAAATATTTATAAAGTGTAAATGAGGAGGGTATTTAATACATAGAAAAGCTGATTTATGTCTTGTTCTCAAGTGAAGAAATGCTTATGTTGAACACGTTTGATTATATCTCAATCAAATAGTCTCAATGTATTTCTACTCCATATGGAGCTTGTTTTTTTTAAATACAGTGAAAAAAATATCTAAGTTGATTTGTATATTTATCATATACCTTCAATTTCCAACCAATTATCTAAAAAATATATTAAACTATCATTTTATATGTACTGTGTGCCAACATATATATTTTAATCTATACTCTAAATATAATATGAATTGTGTGAAAAGAGAAAGATAGATTTTTATCTATACTTCAATGATTCACATATATATTAATGTACTGCCATAACTACAAATAGTATGTACATCCTTACCCTTTACAAGCTGAAGACCTTTTCACAATTTAGCTTTATAATGGTACAATCACCAGCATAGATGTTTCTCTTTTGTTTAAGATAATTGATTCTAGATGAAGTAAATACAATTTTTTTAAGCCATTACACTTTTCTGAGCTAAATTATATCACCTATTGCACTCAAGAAAACCAAATGACATTTTCAAAAAAAAAAAAAAATGTAAAACTATCATGATAAATAAATACATGAAAAGATACTTTGGGCACTGGGACTAGGAAATTCTTTTGCTAATGGTCATTATTTCAGCACCCTCAAAATATGGCATGATTATCTATAAATATATGGCATGATTACTCTATAAATATATGGCACGTTTACTCTATATGTTCATATTATACATAATGGTACTCATTATACTGTGTTGTCACTGCATTTGTGCTGGTCTGCCTTATCTAGTTTTGATGCCAGTGTTGCTTTTGGTTTTCCACTTCATCCTAAATTTTAAAAAAATAATGCAAAATCAAAGAATTAGAAAACAAATTAAAAATGTGTTCCTTCAATAATACAAGTTACTTGATCATAATACTTCAGAATAATGTCTACTACCTCACCCTTCCAGGCTAAACGTTTTAGTTAGCTAAGTTACCTGCCCATAGTAGCAGTTTGATAGAGTGAACTCTTGATACCATGACTGTAATGTTATTTGTTACTGAATAATAACTTCAATAAGTGATTAATACTTATTATTAATTACAAGAGATCAGTAGAGTTGTGAAAATGGGACTATAATGCCCTGAAAGTATTTTTCTCATAGAATTTTAACACTAGTGAAGGCAAAACATAAACCATCTGTTGGTGTATATCAGTTCTAATCCAATGTGTAATATTTGTTTATATTTACTGCCAAGAACAGCTGGGTGATAGTTCAAGCTAACTATATTTAAGCTAACAATACAGTGCTTAATTTCATAAATACTTCAGTTAATGTTGGAGTCAAATGTATGCTTTCTTACATCAAAACAACTGTTAAAAAAGTGTACATGTATTATGATTGGGTATGTACCATCACATAAAACACATTTTACCAGACAAAAAAACTAGTTTCTTCAAGTATTTTACTCAAAAATAATACATTAGCAGTATCCATAAGAGAGTGAGGGAGTTAAGTTTCATTAGCCCAGGGAAGCTACAGCCAGTGCCCTACAATTTGCAAAGCAGCTTTTAGATTAATAACCCACCTGGAGCACTGACTCCATATATCTAAATGAAAGCCTCTATGAAATGAAAAGTTTGTTCCAGGTATGCAATGTCAAATTTATTTTGTACAGAAACCATTTTTTCTCCTTTAGTCATACTGATCTTGCCTTTCTTGATCATGAAACCAAAATCATCAGTTTTCTCCTTACCCAAACTTTGATAACAGTAGAAGACAGAAACTCCAGTCTTGTGTTTCTTCTTTTAGTCATAGTAACCTTGACCATGAACTTTTGACCTCAAAATTAATAGACTATTTCCCCATCCCTGGTAAAAGCTATTCACAAAGTATTGTGACTGTAGCTTGTGGAAAACAAGATTTTTTGGTGCAGAAAGCACTTTTTTTTTGTTTTAGTGACATTGACCTTTACTTTTAATTATCAATCAAGTATATTTTACAGTGAGATATATCTTCATGTAAATATGAATATGAGCAGTCTCAAACAAGAATATGACATATTGTAATCATTTGGACATGAATCTTTTAAATCGCTTTTAGTTTAATTGACATTCATTCAAGAAAAAAAGAAGTCACTGCAATATAAATTACAGTATTCACAGTATTCCAGATGCTTAAAATGAACTTTATTCAGGCACATAATTTTATCATCTAAATAAATTGCATTTATGCTGCATCAGAATCTCATGTAATCAAAAATGGACTACAGTTGTCTTATTTGTTATGGGAGCAGTGTACAAATATAGGTAAAGATACAAATTTTAAAATTTGGCATGGTTACTTCTGTACACAACTATACATTGACCCCCATAAAATCTGGAAACTGCACACGTGCATGCTTGCATGTGCATGTGTGCATGCATGTGGGATTTGGATTTTTAACATAGCTTTAACAATTTTTCAGTTATATTGCTATGATTTCTGCAGTGTGGCAGTTTATAGTGATGTCTAGTATTGCGGCATTATGTTGGAGAAATGTACCATCAAGACCCACCCAGTCATTTTATTCTGACCCCACGACAACCAGTCCCAACACTAACCTCTGAATGCTGAGTGCCAAGCGAGGCAGCTACTAGTGCCATTTTTATAAGTCTTTGGTATGCCTTGACCAAGGTTCAAACCCACAACCTCCCACATCCAAAGCAGATGATCTAACCACTTAGGGCACCAGAATAGTGAAGAAACTAAATATTATCCTAACATCTGTTTACTACGATTACCATATCTGAGTGTCACCTGTAAATAACTCCTGAACCCCACTGATGCATATATGCAGTGCCGATAAGCCTTGTTTAAAACCCCAGTGTCGCTTATGAGTGCATAGTTCTGCAGTAATCAAAACCCCAGTGTCGCAACTATGCGGACATAACTGCTATGTTAACTCAACATTGATTGGTTGAAAGTACATATGTTTACTTATTTTTCATTATCATAACCAATGAGAAGAATGGTTACTGAACATTTTGATACCATTTTGAAAGCTGAGAGGTTAAATTTAGACATGCAGGAAGGAAATTTCCGGCAATGTACAAAACATGTGCAGTTGAGATAAACAAAATGGAATCCTAGTCAGATATTTGTGACTTTGAAGGGTTCAGTGCAAGCAATATCAAAGAGTTTAATGGATCATTCTTAGTAAATGGATCAGATAATGATGCTAGTCCCATTTCAACACTAGATGTATGTGATTTTGAATCAAATAACGAGGATTTATTTTGTGTGATTCAAAACAATTTACGTGACTGGGAATTCTTGTATGATTCGATGTAGGAGTAAATAAAGTGGAAATATATGAATAACAGACACTATACAAGGTAAGCTGCTCTTTATTTCACTGAAATCCAGCAAAAACTAATGAAATAATGAATATAAATGTAACCATGTTTTTATTGTTAGTTTCCGTAGTCAGTCATGATGATGCTCTAGTATTCAGCCTAGCAAACAGCTTCATTAGTTTTAGTAACTGATACGCTATCACTCAGCAGTAGTGAAACTGCAGAACAGCTGTAGTAGTTAAAGGGTTAAAAAAGGTGTAATTGATACTCAACAAGAAGCTCATAGTAACCATGCTGATGACTGATTGGCCCCTTGGCCTTATCAACATAGCTTAGATAAGAAAAGGGTGCATGGATCCCTCTGTATATACAAATTTGCACTTTGTTAACCATACAACTTTCATGAGTAACTAACATTTGAATATTTGCTCTTAGTCTCTGTTATAACACAGATATCCTATTGAGAAGTCTGTAAGAAACTCTTAGTGTCTGTTATAACACAGATATCCTATTGAGAAGTCTGTAAGAAACTCTTAGTCTCTGTTATAACACAGATATCCTATTGAGAAGTCTGTAAGAAACTCTTAGTCTCTGTTATAACACAGATATCCTATTGAGAAGTCTGTAAGAAACTCTTAGTCTCTGTTATAACACAGATATCCTATTGAGAAGTCTGTAAGAAACTCTTAGTCTCTGTTTTAACACAGATATCCTATTGAGAAGTCTGTAAGAAACTC